AATATATTCTTTTTAACTTGAGCTACTTGCTTTCTACTAAAACACTTTTGTACTAATATCTAAAACCTAACCCTAACCCTAACCCTAATTCTAACCCCTAACAATAACAATAACCTATTAATAAACATCTATATTTACATCTTATTCATAGTAAATTCTTATTTCATATTAGTAAACATCCATATTATTAACCTATTAATAAGCATTCATATTTCCATCCTATTTATAAAAAACTCCTATTTTATATTAATAAGCATTCATATTATCATCCTATTAATAATAAATACCCATTTTATATTAAAAAACAATACTCTAAATATCTATCTTATTTATATACTAATCATCGATAATATATTTAATACCCATCTTATTCATAATAAATACCTATTTCATATTAATAAGCATCTATAATACACTTAAAATATATTAAATATCCATCCAATTTATATACAAATTATCAATAATACACTTAATACCCATCTTATTCATAGTAAACACCTATTTTATATTAGTAAGCATTTATAATATACTTACAACTCATTAAATATCTATCTAATTTATATACCAATCATTAATAATATACTTAATATCCATCCTATTCATAGTAAACATCCATTTCATATTAGTAAATATCCATAATATACTTATAACATACTAAATATCTATCTAATTTATATATCAATCATCAATAATATACTTAATACCTATCCTATTCATAGTAAGTACCTGCTTCATATTAGTAAGCATCCATAATACATTTATAACACACTAAATATCTATCTAATTTATATATAAATCATCAATAATATACTTAATACCCATTCTATTCTTAGTAAGCACCTATTTTATATTAGTAAGTATCTATAATATACACATCCTATTCTTAGTAAGTACCTATTTTATATTAGTAAGTATCTATAATATACCCATCCTATTCTTAGTAAGTACCTATTTTATATTAGTAAGCATTTATATATCCTATAATACTCTAAATATCTATTCAATTTAAATACCAATTATTGATAATATACTTAATACCCATCCTATTCATAATAAACACCTATTTCATATTAGTAAGTATCTATAATATACTTATAATATATTAAATATCCATCCAATTTATATGATAATATACTTAATACCCATCCTATTCATAGTAAGTACCCATTTTATATTAGTAAGTATCCATAATATACTTATAATATACTAAATATCCATCTAATTTATATACAAATCATTGATAATATACTTAATATCCATCCTATTCATAGTAAATATCCATTTTATATTAGTAAATATTTATAATACACTTACAAGATACTAAATATCCATCTAATTTATATATAAATCATCAATAATATACTTAATACCCATCCTATTCATAATAAGTACACATTTTATATTAGTAAATATTCACAATATATTTACAATATACTAAATATCCATCCAATTTATATACCAATCATTGATAATATACTTAATACCCATCTTATTCATAATAAGTACCTGTTTAATATTAGTAAACATCCATAATACACTTATAACATACTAAATATCTATTCAATTTATATACTAATCATCAATAATACACTTAATACCTATCCTATTTATAGTAAGTACCTGTTTTATATTAGTAAATATCCATAATATATTTATAATACACTAAATATCTATTCAATTTATATATAAATCATCAATAATACACTTAATACCCATCCTATTCATAGTAAATATCTATTTAATATTAGTAAGCATTCATAATATACTTATAATATACTAAATATCTATCTAATTTATATATCAATCATTGATAATACACTTAATATCTATCCTATTTATAGTAAGTATCTGTTTCATATTAGTAAACATCCATAATATACTTATAATACACTAAATATCCATCTAATTTATATACAAATCATCAATAATATACTTAATACCCATCCTATTCTTAGTAAGAACCTATTTTATATTAGTAAATATCTATAATATACATATCTTATTCTTAGTAAGTAACTATTTTATATTAGTAAGTATTTATAATATATCCATCCTATTCTTAGTAAGTACTCATTTTATATTAGTAAGCATTTATATATCCTATAATACTCTAAATATCCATCTAATTTATATATTAATCATCAATAATATACTTAATACCCATCCTATTCATAGTAAGCACACATTTTATATTAGTAAGCATCCATAATATACTTATAATATACTAAATATCTATCTAATTTATATATAAATCATTAATAATATACTTAATACCCATCCTATTCTTAGTAAGTATGTATTTTATATTAGTAAGCATCCATAATATACTTATAAAATACTAAATATCCATCCAATTTATATATTAATTATCGATAATATACTTAATATCCATCCTATTCATAGTAAGTACCCATTTTATATTAGTAAATCTCCATAATACACTTACAATATACTAAATATCTATCCAATTTATATGATAATACACTTAATAATCATCCTATTCATAGCAAGCATCCATTTCATATTAGTAAGCCTCCATAATATACTTATAACACACTAAATATCCATCCAATTTATATACAAATCATTGATAATACACTTAATATCTATTCTATTTATAGTAAGTACCTATTTCATATTAGTAAGTATTTATAATATACTTATAACATACTAAATATCTATCTAATTTATATAATAATACACTTGATACCCATCCTATTCATAGTAAGTACCCATTTCATATTAATAAGCCTACATAATACACTTATAATATACTAAATATCTATCTAATTTATATACAAATTATTGATAATATACTTAATACCCATCCTATTCATAGTAAATACCCATTTCATATTAGTAAGTATTCATAATACATTTACAATACTCTAAATATCCATTTAATTTATATATTAATCATTAATAATAAACTTAATATCCATCTTATTCATAGTAAGCACCTATTTTATATTAGTAAGCCTCCATAATACACTTACAATACACTAAATATCCATCCAATTTATATATAAATCATCAATAATATACTTAATACCCATCCTATTTATAGTAAGTACCTATTTTATATTAGTAAGCCTTCATAATATACTTACAACACACTAAATATCCATCTAATTTATATATAAATCATCGATAATACACTTAATACCCATCCTATTCTTAGTAAGTACCCATTTTATATTAGTAAGCATCTATAATATACTCATCCTATTCATAGTAAGCACCCATTTCATATTATTAAGCATCCATATATCCATCAATAATAATACCCATCCTATTCATAGTAAGCATCCATTTCATATTAGTAAGCATCCATAATATACTTACAACACACTAAATATCCATCCAATTTATATATCAATTATTAATAATATACTTAATATCCATCCTATTCATAATAAGCACCCATTTCATATTAGTAAGCATCCATAATTTTAGCATAATTATAGAATCTTATTGGCTGTGTAAAACTTACTATAATACTATCGGCTGTGTAATTTACACTTAACATTTATAGGCTGTGTACTCTTTCTATTACTAGTATTGCTACTGGTATAGGCTGTGTACTCTTTATTAATATACGATCGGCTGTGTAATTTACACTTAACATTTATAGGCTGTGGACTGTAATTATAAAAAGGTATCGAATTTTTTATTGACCTTTATTGTAAAAATTAGTAAACATAGAATTTCGACACCTTTACCCAACAACATATTCCATTTTGATAATGATAACAAATTCGTCCATTTCGTGAACTCGGCCGATCCTGATTTCTTTCTACAAATCAACGGTCTTGGTGATAAAACATTGCAGAAATTAATGAGTGCTCGACCATTTAAAAATTTTGTTGAATTAGAAACTTTCCTGAAAACTTTAAGAGTCAAATCATTACTCGAGAAAATCTATAAAATGATGTTGATGGAAGAAAACGAAAATCCTACCTACAATTCTGATTCTGATTCCATTATCGTTGATAACTACAATTCTAACCTCGATACGAAACTTACCAAATTCGTGAACTCGGCCGATCCTGATTTCTTTCAACAAATCAACGGTATTGGTAATAAAACATTGCAGAAATTAATGAGTGCTCGACCATTTAAAAATTTTGTTGAATTTGACACTTTCGTGAAAACTTTAAGAGTAAATCAAATGCAATTAATCAGTTATTCGACAAAATCTATATGACGTTGACTGAAGAAAACGAAGATCCTACCATCATCGATTCCAAATCCGAAAACGAAGATGACCCCAACCTAAACCTTGATTCTATTAACACCATCGACGACAAATCCAATTCTGATTCCAACTTCGAAATTGATCTTAATATGTTGATAGATGAACCCGAAAATCCTACCTACAATTCTGATTCCATTATCGTTGATAACTACAATTCTAACCTCGATACGAAACTTACCAAATTCGTGAACTCGGCCGATCCTGATTTCTTTCAACAAATCAACGGTATTGGTAATAAAACATTGCAGAAATTAATGAGTGCTCGACCATTTAAAAATTTTGTTGAATTTGACACTTTCGTGAAAACTTTAAGAGTAAAATCAAATGCATCACTAGGACAAAAAAACGAATCGTGGGATTTTTAGCAATATAGACGCCACAGGTAAATGAAACTTGGCCCATATATGGTTAAAAGCATAAATAAATAAAACATGCAATTTAACGTTTAAGAATAAATGTAACACCACTTTGCTTAACTTGGACTTAACTGATGATGCATTTCTTTTGAATTCACTCTTTTATCTTGTATAATTAAAATTATTATGGCACATATTCCCGTCAAAAAAAGATCCCAAATTTATACCCTTCTTAAAGGAGGATATTCTTCCCATTATATTGCAAATCGCGAAAATATTTCCCAATTCTCCATTATAAGAATAAAGAAAAAAAAGATACTCATAATACCTTTAAAGATTTACCAAAACCAGATAATCCTAGAATTTTTACTGGACGTGATGAACGAAGTCTAATTTTGAATGGTAGTTTTCCCACTGCAACATCTATCCAAAAAAAATTAAAAACTGATGATAAAATTGATATCAGCACAAGCACAATAAAGCAAACTTTACATCGTAATGATCTTTCTTCACAAATTAAGTGAAAAAAACCATATCTCAAAAAAACATCGAATTCAACGTTTAAATTTTGCAAAAAAATATCATCATTGGACTATTAACGATCGGAGCAAAGTCATCTGGTTGGATGAATCGATTTTTAATTCAGACGGACATGGATTTTTCGGCGTTGGTAATATCGTACGCATTTATGGTCATATGGATAAGAATTTATATCACGAAATCTTAAATAATGATCTTTCAGGTGGTATGAAATTAATAAAAATGATGTTGTCTTTCAACAAGACAATGATCCGAAACACACGGCAAAATCTACGTACG